AGAAACATCAAGGTCCCAATGATGGCTGTGCTGGGAATCTGGTTCTTGATGTTTTCCAGCCTACGTAGGAAGTCTGACCTGTCGTGGATATATGTCGCAATCTGTAGAACGAGGGGTTTGAGAAAAGTGTCAGTGAACAGTGATATGTGTTCAGTGGGCGATCCATTACTGGAAACGATTGGCCTCCCTGGATTACTTTCCTTGTGGATCTTGGGGAGTAGGTAAAACCTAGCAGTTCTACAATCAATAGGGGACAGAAACTTATGAACTTTCTTGGATAATTGGTCACATGAACGCATATCATCCAGTACCTGCTGAATCTGTTATGAGAATGTTCCTATTGGGTCAGAATCAAGGGGGATATAGTTAGTATGATTGTTAAGGTGGTGATGGGCTTCAGCAATGTGTTGATGTCGGTCCATAATTACCACAGCTGAACCTTTATCTGCCAGATTGATGATGATGTCAGTGTGAGAGCGCAGGGAGTTGAGTGCTGAACCCTCATCCCTGGAGAGATTATCTTGAGGAGTATGACGAAAATGATCAGGGTTATTCACTTGTCAATGGACAACCTGTGCTTAGGTCTCAAGGGCTGGTATACGATTCTTTGGGTGTACCAAGGTGCTTTGGACATTGAGAGGCTGCCGGTCGCACGGAGCAGAGTCAAAGAAAAAGTCTTTAAGTCGTATCCCGTGGAAGTATTCAGTGAGATTTTGGCTGAGTTCTACCTGGTTCATGAAGAACACAAGATTGGTGAGTCCCCTTTCCATCTCAATACACATGTTCCTATACATAGCATCGGGACAGTTAGATCTAAGTTCAGAATCAGATAAAGGTTTTGATGGCAAATCATTCAGTTTGTTCATCACAAAGTTGCAAGCTGATCAGAATTGCACATATTTAAAACAATTAATGGGCAGGAATCCCTCATTGAAATGCGACCCTGGCAACACAGAAACAATCAGGCTATTGCCCCCAGGGGAACAACAGCCTATCCAAATGGCATACTTATAAGGAGACACACACAGGCACACTTGTGACATGTCTGGTGACCTTCAGTTAGAAACTCAGTTCACTCTTGGCCACTTGGAAACCAATTTAAACAAAACACCCTAATACTATTGACCAAAATTAATAAAAGCATGATATCAGTCATCTCAAGACAAAATTTTTTTTAAGTAACCCGAAGATAACCACTGAGCCAGAGGTTAATATTGTCTCTGACACTATGGGTCGAGTTAGACGGGGAGTTTTTCAGAAGAAAAGAACTTGATTCAAACAGAAGCATGAATTGACACCCAAAACTTTACACGGGTGCCAATGAGGATTCAACTGAGAAAAAAGTCTCGGTATGTTCGACCAACATTTGAGCAGCTTGAGCTAGCTGTTTGCAGAGATGAAAGAGGGTTTTTCTGCCAGGCGCTACCAATAGCAGAGGCCAAGAGTAGAGATGTCATGTTGCTCCGACCGAAAACTGCAGAAATTACTCCACTCGACCAGCTCTAGTCCAAGGATGGAACAAATCAATCAGGAGGATATTACTTTGTGAGTTTACGCTCAGCGCTGCAGCTGGGTGCACATGCTGGACTTGACTACCAAAGACTGCATCCTGGGTGTGACAGCCAACCAGAACTCATGCCAGAGGCAGAAGAATGCAGAGGCTTGGCTGTTTCAGAAGTGATGCACTACAAAAATACTGACATCACAGCAGCAGGTGCAAGAAGGCTCCTGGCAGCTATAGACACGACTGTTCCTTCAGGTAGGGGACTGCAAAAAATTGCACACAAATGCGGTGAAATTACAACTCAGGAGAACCTGCGAGACATAGCTGCAAAGAGGGGAACTGTGAAAGACATCCACGAACTACAGGGATTTGAGAGGGAGAGTCCAGTTGCTGTTGAGATGTATAGCCTGCATAACAACCCACTGAGAAATGTCCGGAAACAAACTCTCTTTGTGCCAGCAACACAAACCAGAGACACAGTCTGTGAAAATGTCACCCCTCGAAGTACGTGTTCATGTATCATCACGAAAGCAAACTTTGCTAGAGATGACATATGCAGCGAGCAAAAGGGCAGAAAACAAAGTGGCCCGGACACTTTGGATGCACAGCTTACACGCCGTCCTGAATTTAACATGGGAGACGAGAAGGAAGGGGAACTGAGATGTGCTGCGAAAATGCTACAAAGTGAGGAGCCCTTGTTAGTGAGCAGTGTGATCACTGATGCAGACGGGCATTTGGCAGCTGGTTTGAAATCCCACATGAGGAGCAGAACTGACACGGACCCTGTGGAGCAATGGTCTGTCCTCATTTGAATAGGTCTTTATGTTCTGCTGTCGGTAAGGCCAATTTCAGTACAACTATGTTCCCCCAATGTGCATATAGAACTGAGAGACAAAGACAACAACTGAAAATCATTTTGGTGATGATGTAAGTCATCGTGCACAAGCTGAAGCCAGTGCAATCCTCGAAAAATGTAACGGAAATGTTGAGAAAATGAACAAGTTTGCAGCTAAGGCTTCAAACGCCATCCCAAAATACCTTGCGGGGAATCACAGTCTGTGCCAAAAAGGTTCACAAATTTGTAAAGGCAATTAAAAATTCCCTTACATGCCATGCTATATAAGGGGAAAGCTTAAGTTTTCCAATGCTGTCAAGTTCCTTCTAAAAAAACTTGTGAAAAACGAATCGGGTATGAGGCTTTACAAAAAAACAAGGTACAGTATGAGTACCCAAAAGAGTGAAGCCATGAATCATGCTTTTGGAATGACCAATCCTAAAGGTAATCTCACCTTTTCAAGGAATGCTACAGCCAGAGATCACAGCTCAGTACACCTCATTAATAACAGGTACGCAAACTCCATCATAAAGAAACGCAAAGCGGCTGGATGTCCAATAAGCATTGGCACCCCAGCAGCACATGCTCTCGCTGAAATGGACAAAAAGCAAAAATATCACAGAAAGCATGCTAAGTCAAAAGGATATCAGAAACGTAGGGCACAATGTTGAGGGGAGAGATACCATGCTTACTTTACTGCATAGGCCATGTACAATCCACGACAATTGAATCCCGGGCAAAACGACAAATCCAAATGCAAAAAAATGAAAATGTCCGATATGTCTACTCAGAACACAGTTACTGTGCAATGAATGTGTAAAGTGAACAAAATCTGCCAACTTTTAAGTTTGAAAATGTTAGGGTTACATCACCCTAGGGGTTGAAAGCATCAGGGTTACGGTCATCTAGGGTTGAAAGTGCTAGGGATAGGGCTTACCCTTTTCTGGATTAGTCCTGGGAGCAACTTACATCAGTTACTTTAAGTGTTCTCCAACATGCACGGCGGATAGGTGTCATGCCCCTTGCATGCCCCTTTCCTCTTACAGGTTTTCCGTGCATTATTAGTTGCAGGGGGCTCCAGGAACAGGTGGTCCCAATTCACACAAAAGAAATTGTGGCAAACATGGCTCACATCGTACCCGCCATTGTGAAATACAGGGTGTACTGAACTAATTGAAGCCCATTGAAGACAATGTAAAATTCTACCACATTTTCAGCCCCGGTGCTGGCAACCAAAGTCCCTCAGGCCTCTCAAACAAAAAACAAAGTGTTCTGGGGTCATTCAGCTTTCAATTGATTTTCAATTGTTAGTAGGTTAACCGCTAAAATTTCTGATTATCCACCAAAAACAAACTCACCCTCCAAAAGAACTCACCCCCAAAAAGTGAACGTTCCCAAGTCTGTCAGCAGACATTTTTCAAATGACATCCCTCCACCTTTTCAGGCTCTTGGGACAATTGTTCAGAAGGATTTTTCTATGCTTTGCCCTGGGATGGGAGCCCTTGAATCTAGGGAGTTCATTCTGGGCTATTCTTCCACAATCCCACAATTTCTTGTGCCTTAAAGTTTTCTATTTTTCAAATAAAGTGTAGGGGTACTTTTTGAACACCTTGGACTGGCGAAGACTTTCCCTTGAATTTGGCAGTGCACCCCTATGATCAGCACCACAATTTTTTGCTGGTGATCTGCATCCTTAAAACTCTGTGTACTGAGGTATAGGAAATTGAATATTCAGCATTTGTTGGTGCTTGTTAAGATCTCACAGCAACATCAGATCTAATGCTTGCACAGTTCCTTGTGTTGTCATGCACCCTAAATTTACATGTGCAGTTATTGCCCTCAATGAACTCTTTCTTCTGGAGTTATTTTTGGAATAAATAGCCACATTGTGTACAGCATTTTGTGTTTTGTTTGAATCATTTTTATTGTGGCATTTGTACAAAAGCGTATTTTACAAGATTTCATGATCATTCTCTGTGATAAATAGCATATTTGGTTCCTTATGAACTCAGTTTTCCAGTAGTGGTCAACATTTTGTTGGCCAGTCTTAGCTAAATTCATACTACGCCTTTGAAAACTGATGTATTGGAGGCAGGAGAATTACAAATCAAATAAAATTACAAATGTTGCATGGATAATGGAACAGTCTATCAAAATTTTAAAAGTTTATTTACAACGGCAAGAGTAGGTCTAATATCAGTGATTTTCCTGTCTCTGTTTCCTGGTCATATTAAGCAAAACAATAAGCATTGCTAGGATATTACTGGCCCGTCTTGTGCTGCTAAGATGCAGGCAGTAGTTGGATATTTTTTTGAATGTTTTCTATTATTTCTGACTAAACAGTGATGATCATTGAACACTTTGAAGTTCCAGAGTTGCAACTTTTTCTGTGTCCTTCCTGTATGCTTGTGTATATTGTACTATGATAAAGTTATTCTTGTTTTGCAAACAGTACCTCTGTAGTATGCATTTTCTATTCCCAAGTTGAATGCTTGACCAAAATGCGCTTAAGAGTTAGCCCCACAACTGTCGATACTTGAAATATTCTATTTTTTTTTATATTCATGAAAAATAATATATACCATTAACTATAGCATGACATTACCTAAATCGGTGATTTCAAATTAATTACACATATTTATTTTTGTCACAAAAACACAGTATCAAACAAACCAGCATCAAGAAGACTTCGGCAGACATTTATCAACTTCTCTGCAGCAAAACAAAGACAAATTTATAGTAAAGCTTCACAGAGGGCAGTGCAACGTGGTCGAGAGCTGATGAATCTGATTGAACTTGATGTGTCTGCATTCTCTCTGTTTGAAATGCCTCCTGTAAAGGTGTACGAGTTGTACATCAAGAGTTATGGACGGTCAAACTCAAAACAAGTAAGTGCTTTATATATTCACGAATATGCACAGTAGGCTTAGGCAATATTTCGGTATTACCGAATACCTCAGTTTTTTAGTACCAAACAATACCGACTAACAATCCATGAATACCGGAATACTAGCTAATTTGGTATTGAATTTCAGCACTGCAGTATTCTGGCTAATTTGTTCAGAATGTTCCCAGGACCCTCTTAAGACAACAGACATTTGTATCCACAACAGTGACTGCAGACTTAGTGGTTTCAGTTACCCAGTCTAGCATCGTGCTTGTTTTGTCTCTTTTGGTGAGGAGATAAGACGTAACGTGATACTTCAGGATGCAGCCATCAACCCACTTGTTAAAAGGTTTTGTTTTGCTGTCGCTAGTGTCGAGTTTGTGGTTTTGGAATAGCTTGTAGGGAGTGCTTCTTGTATTGCCCTCCAGCACATATCACAGCCCTACAGCTTGGAATGAAAACTCAGCGGGTCTTCCGTGTCTGCACTGGACTTTATTTTCCAAAGATTTTTATTGGCGGATGAGAAGATATGAACGATACTTGTGCTAGCCTTGTGCTCTCTTCGTGCTTTTTGTCCTTTATATAAAATATGTACAAGTATTGTGTGAAAATTTATCTAACCAATGTGTGTTCAAACTATAAAATAATTCCATAAATCTGCGTTCTGTTCGACATCCACGACAATCATCGATCAGTTTTAGTGTTCTCACAATCATTCCAACCACACAAAAAGAGAAGCAAAAATCCGATTCCTCAGTTGTCACTGGTTGTATTTCAGTTTGTCTGAAATAAATTGAGAACAGCGTGGTTGATCAAAAAGATCTCTCAGTTTTGATTAATCAAATACCTTGTGATGTGTTTTGAATAATAAACTTTACTGTCATAGGACAACATGTTTAATGTGCATGTGAAATTTAAAAAAAGAAACTACATGTGAAAGCATTGATCCAGGGATTTTTAAAGACTTTCAATCGCCATGGATGACGACAAAGCTAATAGTAACTAGACTGTATGCACATGTAGGCCTGTGTGTACCTGCAAGAATGTGAAGGCTCATCAACTAAAGCCCCCATCCATGTAAGTAGTCTTTCCAACACAAATTGTGTCATGGAGAGACATTTTTATTTAATTTTCTGGGTTTTTTTTAATTTACTTTTGATACCCCTGCATGACAGGATTGATAGATAGTTCTTGTTCATTTGCCCACTGCCTAGAGGGAGGGTGTAATGAACCCACTGAGAGTTCACGTAGTAAACTATTTGCATCACCACTTTGTTCAGGCTCCAGAGTCTTTTTGTCTGAGGTACAGGCAGAAAGATTCGAGTGTAGAGCAAGCAACCCTATCCCTTTGGGGTGGGTGGAATTTTAAAAAAATATGTTCCTCCCATGGCTTTGTGCATTTCTCTACAACCAACTCCTACCTTGTTGACCTATGCTCCAACTTTTTGCAGTCCACTCTTTACAGCAACCAGATTTTAAACTGATGGCCTCTTGTGCCCTCACGCTCGCAGCGATGCAAATTTATTTGCATCATTGCTTTGTTCGAGCTCCAGAGTCTTTAGTCTGAGGTATGGATAGAAAGATTCTTTGCTCCAACTTTTAGATCCCCTCAACTGTCCTTCCATTTGCTCCTTTATAACGCGGGCGTAACCCTCTTAGCCAAGTCATAAATGCTTGAACTGCTCACATAGTTTGTGTGTATGTGCCCTAAATGGCGCTAAGGCCAGTAGGCAGCAAATAAGCCTTACTAAGATTGACCCTCAAAAGTAATTGATCGATATGATGCTAAGATGTTGTTGCTTCCCCTCATTTTTGTGATAATATCTAATTTTGCCATTGTTTGCCTGTCCTCATCATGTACCTTCAAAGTAATTCCAGAGATTTGGTACAGAAGGCAACATTTAAAAGGGCATTTCCAGTTTTGCCAGGTTTTTTTCTGACTTTTCTATAATTCGCTCTTTCATTTAGCAATATATCGAAACGTTAGGGACAAAATGCTACTGATGCCATTAAGAACAGGAGGAGCCCATTGATTTTTTAACTCAAGTTAACTGCAGTTCTGTGTGATGGATTTCTTTGGTTCAAATGGATTTAACCAAAGTAATTCATAGACTTCATCACTGTGTAAATTCAAGAATAATATTTTATGACAGAGAACCGGACTTTCATGCTTTAGAAACCCTCCTACGCCTTTTTTTCTATTGAGTGAAACAGATTTTCCTTTGCCACTCCGCATTAGAAACAACGTAACAGCGCCACCACTTGGTCGAATTTTATGATTCAAACACTGAACTGCATGTCAGAAATAGATCTGTTTAATGATGGTACAATTGTTGGACAACATTAACGACCGGACTCTCCTCGCCAAATAATCATGCTTGTTTCATTGACGCGAAAGCGTCTTCTTTTACGCGTGTTTTGCTATACCTACACAGCAATCGCACATGGAGAAGCAAAGCGACAGAGGGCAGATTTACAACGTAAGTTCAATACGAATATTAAGAATTGTGTTTCATAAAGTACCTGATAAGAACAAGGGAAACCTCTAGAATATGACAGTATAAAAGCTATGTACATGTGAGAGCAACTTGTGGTATAAAATGTAAAATGAAAACAGCGATAATGTTGCCCTGAGACTTTTTTTTTTACTAAGCTAGTTAGGCGTTACCATTTTGCACATGGGTAGGCCCCGCTTACGTACACACAAACAGGTAGGCCACGTCTAACGTAAGAACATGCACATGTAGGCTGAACCTAAAATGAAATTTGATGGGGCAGCATAATCTGTATTTTAACAGGGATAGGCCTACATTTGTTATAAGTGTTCTGATTTTTTAGTATGCATTGTTCATCGCTTAATTTTTGGCTTGTCTAAAAACAATAATCAAAGCTAACGGTTACTACAAGAAAAAGAAGTGTCAAATTTATTGAAGCATGGGCCGCTGCTTTCTCACTGTAAACCATGTCTATGACGCACAGTCCAAATTCATGTTTATCTCGTGATTTGAAGATGGGAGACACAAATTGGAAGACAAGATATGAAGGAAAAAGAATAAACGATGTTGCCTGCCCTCCATCCTTGGGTTATAGCCTTTATTAAAGTACTAAGTGGCTAACTAAGTACAACAAAACTAAGCCTGTCCTTTTATTTCCATTCCACGGATGAGACTAACAAAGTGGCCAGACTACTTGGCCATTGTAAGTGGTGGCTGCCCGTCTGATAAGCATACAGCAACCCCGCTCAAGAAACGGGCATCTGCCAGCACACTCTATGATGTGGAGGTTCTAGACCAGAGATCATCTAATGGGAGACAAGAAGTATTGATCCATTATATTGGATGCTCTACAAAATATGATGAATGGAGAGACCATACTGACATCATCCATCGTCATCCAGAAACACTTTCGAGTGATTCCAGAGACCTATTCAAGACAACACTAAAAACTGAAATTCAAGAAAAGCTGAACACAGCTAGGAAAACTGACAGCTGAGTTAGTATACACCTCCCAATTCAGAAGGAGACATTTGAGTTCATCAAACATAATGGTGTCAGAATTAACAACACATCAGCATGTGTAAAGTATCAACCAGTGCATCTGGACAAGCTTCTTGGCAGTGATTGGTGGATTAGAATCAACAATGAAAATGGAGACTTTGCATACATCAAGAGAGACACAGCATGTTTTTGGATGTTCAAAAGATGAGAACTGAAAACATTTTCAAGGTTACTTAAAAAAATCTCTCTCCATAGAGATTTTGTTTTTGCACTCAACTTTGTGAAGGGAATGGCACTTCATCGTGGATAAGTCTGGCAAACTTACATATAGAGATTTCACAGGACCCGAGCATTGGCGAATATTGAATACAATAGGTTTGGACAAGTTGCAAGGGAATTTCGCTTACGGTAAACTTCCAGTCCACATACAAGCATGGTAGATGTTAAAAGTCATGTACACAAAGTGCAACCATAAGGAGAAATGAAATGAAGTGAAATCAATTTGAGCATTTAAAATGTTAACTCTTTGCTGGGTTTCAGATTGAATACCCAAAATATGCATGCCTTTTTCAATGTACAATGAACATTCATGTTCAGCAACAATGTACACCTTTTGTTTTAGAAATATAGGAAAGAAACCAGGTTTAAACTTTTCCTTGAATTATTATTGTTTATAGTTTTATTATTCAAATTCCAAAAACATTTAATCAAACACTTCAACTGTTGTCAATATGTATGCAGTTCAGTCAAACCTGAAAGGATTTAAAGAATAAATACTTGACTAAATTACGTTCAGTTATCTATTGTCCTATTTTTTCAGGTTTCTTTTCATTATTATTCAAATCTCGCAAAATTAATGTTATGGTTTTTGAATATACTGGCATGCAATTTTCCTCCATACACATATGCATCTAATTCCCTCGTACAGCTGTATTTCCATCTTTCAATTGAAAAAAATAATCCAAAAGGAAAACAATTAACCCCAATAATCTGAAAGTAGGTGCCAAATGAGACCAAAAACTGGACAAATAAGACCCGCGTAACACTACCAGATTATCGAATATAATTAACTTAATCATTTCCCTCCCTGCATATAGCTGCTTTGTGAGCAAAAACCCCCACGCGGTAAGTGGTATCGCCCACACACACCGTGCGCGGGCGCGTTCGGATGGAGATGAAGCAGGCCAGAAATGGCCCTAACGTTTCCATATGGTCCCTCTCTGCTTTGCTTTATGACAGCCATGGGCTTACTCCCCTTTCAACTAGTACCTTTAAAGTGATGGATTCAGAGGTTTGGAAGAGAAGCCAACAAATTAAAGGGCATTTCCCAGTTTTGCCAGTTTCCCTTGACTTTTCCCTGCTCCAGCCTTTCCTTTGGCAAGCTCATCTTTGCCTTTCTTTATTATATCCAAGGGGCTTATTCCCCTTTTCCTCATGCTCCTGGTTTTTCTGTGGAGCTAAACTTTGTTTGCTCCCCCTCTTGGGCTAATGGGGGCTCGTTCAC